CCATAGAGTGAGGAATAATCACTGTGCTGGTGTTCAGTTATATATATCCCTGGTGAATTAAGCAATGCTGGGAATGGATGTTTGGAGGCTGTGATAGGGAACAAGAGGCTTCAGCTGAATCCTGGTGAGACTGAGTGGCTCTGGATGGGGGCTCACTGTTCCAGAAGGTACTGAATAGACAGACCCATTGCGTTATCTGACAGTCCTAGAATTTGGACTCCTGTTCGATGAGCAGGTGGTAATTGTGTCTAGGTTGTCCTTTGTACATCTTCATCTTGTGTGCCAGTTGTGTCCTCTCCTGGATTGGTAGGCCCTTCTTACAGTCACTCTTGCCTAGTCATTTCCAGTTTCAACTGCTGAAATGTGCTCTTGTGGGACTGCCCTTGAAGAGCATTTGGAAACTTCCATTGGTACAGAATGGGCAGTTACGTGCGTTCGTAGAACAGTGCATGTTACACCCCTGCTCTGCGAGCTGCATTGGTTGTAAGTTTCCTTCTGGGTCCAATTTAAGGTGCTGGTTTTACCCTTTAAAACCCTTCATAATATGGGACCGGATTATCCCGTCCCTGGCTATGTCAGCCTGCTCCATTAGATCTGGTAGAGAAGGCATGCTGCGCAGGTACTATCAGCTAAGGACCTACATTGGGTGGGTCCCGGGAGATGTGCTTTCTTTGCTGTTATCTCTGCCTTATTGAGCATTCTTTTTCTGAGATTAGATCAGTTACAACCCTTTTAACATTTTGGAAATCTCTCAATGCCTGGTTATGTTACTAGGCCCAGGGCTGCCAGAGAACCAGAGGCATGCTTCGATGACTCCATTGCTGATGTGAACCATTCTTATACTCCCTTTGCCTAGGGTTTGATTATTTATTTTTATCTTAATATTTAAATTGGATTTTTATACATTATATATATTTATTGTTTTATATTTGTTGTTACACTGCCCAGAGTTGCTTTTCATAAGACAATACATATTTGGTTAATAAATACATTAAATAAATAAATAAATGGATGTTGTGACTAAAAGAGCCTTTGCACAATTTCAGGTTGTGTACTAGTTGCTCTCCTTCCTGGATCAGTAGGCTCACACATAGTCATCTTCTGTATGGATTACCATAATGTGCTCTGTATGGGGCTGCCCTTGAAGAGCATCTGGAAGTTTCAGGAAGCATTTGGAACTTTCAAAAGTTTTTGTTTTGGTGCAAAATGCTTTGACACAGGCAGTTATGTGCGCACCTAGACCAATGCACATTACACCCTTGTTTTGTGAACTGTGTACCGTCCAGACAGTTTAGAGTTAATGGGATTTGGATAGTTAGGCAGCAATTGTAAGCTGTTCCCTTAAGGGAATGCATCATGGTAAATGTAGTTAAGGTATCCTGGGAAATGTAGTCCATATCACGTGACCATATCTGTGATCCTGATTGGTCACTAAATTGACCCTCGATGGGTAGGAGGAGTTTTCCTCACTCTTGGCTGAACTCATGGACTTGTGGTAACTGTTCTATTTCTATTGCCACGAGATAAAAGAGAAAAAGGATAGAAGATAATCATCTTTTTACCTACAAGACAGATGTGCAAAGGATTGGTCACTAAAGAAGAACTTTGTCACAAATGTGAGTTATGAGGATACCCAATGAACCAATAAAAGTACTTTGTTATGGATGTTTTGTGGAGTTTATCTGCATCTGTACAGAAGACAAATCTACCACTGTGCAGAATACAGAACAAACTGCATTGGCTAACAATTTTTGATTCAGGAGATGATGACCGATAAAGTCCTACATGGTATCCAGAAATGTACTTTTTGTTCTTGGAGGAAAGTAGGCCTAAGGAATCTTAACCAGTAGCACTTTGCTCAGATCAATACAACTTTGAACACAGTCTTCTGGGCTCACAGATCCTGCTGATCCAAGCCATATGAGATTAAATGCTCGTGCAGAGTTAGCATATACGGCAATTTTGATAAGTCTGTTACTACATTTAGCTAATTAATACAGTTAACCAGCTTCAGCTTTTGTTTCCGCAAAGGGAGGTGGACTTAGAAGTGTTGATGAATCTGATCACAGTTGGTTTTTTTTATAAATTTTATTTGAGTTTTCACAAAGAGAAAAAAAAATACAAATAAAACATCTTTTTTGAAAGCAGCATAATCCCGGGTTACATTTCTTCGTACAGACACTAATTCAGGTTCATGCTCATTTTTATATTCTATTCCATATCTTATTGCTATTTTACATTTTCTGCATAGCTTCTCCCCTCTTTTAATTTTCTCAATTTTATTTTAATTATCTCATCTCAATTCAAATCATTGTATTTATATTTTTGTCTGTCCTGTTTCAATTATCTATTATCTTTTCTCATTAAACAAAATTTCTCCTGTAGTTACTGATTGGAGTATGACGCCTTTATATCTTTTCCCTAAAGTTGTAACATTCAATATAATACATAACTTCCATTCGGATTCTGCTTGGTACATTTTTAAAATACACACTGTATTCTTAAAAAAAAGAAAAAAATTATAGATGTATATAATTAAAACAACATTCCATTCCAATTCATTTCTATCATTAATATTAATATTCATTAAAGTCTTAACATCTTTTACTTTTCAATTAAATACCATACTTCTATGGGAACAATTATAAACTTTCCATAGTTAATTCCCTCCCCTCTTCACTTATATTTTATAAAACATTGTCTAATTAAAATGTTCCCATTCCTTCCTAATTCATTTTTCTCATTTATTTTATTTCACTAAATTACACTAACTATTTTATCCCTCATTTTAATCATATGTTGTTTCCAATTTTCTAAAGTTATTTCTATTACTAATATAACAATACAATCTTATGAACCTTTACAGAATCCCTTTTTCAGTTAGATTTTCACCCATTATGTCTAAATAGGTCCTGTTTCTCTATATCTTGCTCCGGTCCTTTGTAACTTCTTTTCCTTTCCTTCTTCCCTCTCTTCTTCTCTCTCCCCTTTTTACCCCCTTGTCTCTCTACCTCTATTTCTCTCTTCTGTATTCCCCTTTTCTGTTGCTTTCCAGTATTATACTTATTTTTCAAATTATTTTTCTTTTCTTTGGTTGTTTTTTTAAGTCTTAAATTCTCCATTCTCTTTCCCCCTTTCCTTTTTCTTCCCCAGATAGAATTACTTGTTCATTAAAGATGGCTTCTTCTTTGTCCCTGTCTTCTTGTTTTGCAGTCTTTTCTTGTTGTTTCTCATAGTTCCAAATCTCCATTTCTAAGAATTGAAAAACGAAGCCAAAAGAACCCTTCCCTTCTTGTGCATCTTCTTTGTACTTTTTAAGTTCCATTTTCAATTCATCCAGAAGTAATGCCATTGTATAAATTTTTAAACAACCACCCGATTAATTTTAGTCATTCAAATATAATAACCAAAAATCCAAAAATCACTGAATAATCCAAATACACGCAAGCTGTTTCTTTTTTGCTCTTTTTTTCACTTTCTCTTCCTGGGGTTACTATTTAGTTGCAAAGTTTCAGTTAAAATGTATCTTTTAAAAGTCTTGTTGAAGTTTTACTGTAGATTTTTTTTAATTCCAAGCAGTCTCCTCCCTCTTTCCAGATCCTGCCCTTATTCTTTTTCTCTCCCTTCCTGCTTATGAAAAAGAAAGTTTTTAATGTCCAAAAATCTTTATTATCCCCTTGGCATTTTGTTTTATTTTCAGCTTAATTGCCTATTGATGTCAAAGTGGATTTTTCCAATTTCTTATTTAAGTCTCTTAGTTGTCGGTATAGGAAAGGAGAGAGAAGAAAAAAAAAAGCCAAACCTTTCCCTTTTCACTTTCCTTCGCTGCTTCCGACTCTTCTTTGGGAGCAATGTTATTTTTTGTAAGTTTAAATTCCAGGGTACCTTGGTTGTGGTTTTACAATTTAACTCGGTCAGCCAAAACTTTTACTTCTTATCTTCCTCCTGCACGTTCTTTTCCAGTCGAGTTCTTCTTTGTGGTGGCAATTTCTGACCACCGCTGCTACTGCCTTCGGGAAAGGGAGTAATGGCCAGCTGAGGAGGAGAGATGCGGCTCTCCTCGACTCTGCTGGTGGTCTCCCCCCTCCACCACCTCTACAGGGTGGCTTAGCCCTGAAACCAGCCGGCTCAGGGAGCTCCAGCGGCAAGCCCAGACAGAAACCACGCACGATCGCAGATTTCTATCTGTCGCCAAAGCCCTTCAAACCGGAAGTCCCAATCTGATTACAGTTTTGATACTTCAGCAACAGAGTGGTCAATGTCTGGAATACTCTACCTGACTCTGTGGTTTCTTCCCCAAACCCCAAAAACTTTAACCTTAGACTGTCTACTATTGATCTCCCCCTTTCCTAAGAGATCTGTAGGGGGCATGCATAAGCGCACCAACGTGCCTACTGTCCCTGTCCTATTGTTTCTTTTATTTTTCTTATATGTACTCATTTCATGTATTCATAACTATGTATATACTTATACTTATTATTTTGTAAGCAATTGACAAATCTAAATAAATAAATAAATAAAACATATGTTTCCTATGAAATAATATTTTAAAACTTTCATAAGAGTACAAGAAAATATTTTTCATACAGTTCCATCGAGATGAATTTAGAACCCCTTTTATTTAGGAACATTCCATTACATATAGGTAAGGTTGAATCATTGTCATATTACATCATGTCTGTCATGATATAGTAGATGTTTCATTAATTTTCTTCTGATATTGTAAATTTAGACTAATTTTTACTGATGGGTTGGAATATGTAAAGTATTACTTTTGCAATCTATAGAATATGTGCAATAAATAATGAGTGCAGCCAGCTTCACAATTTATCATATAGGCGGAACATGGCCAGCAGCAAATACACACTTCTGTGCCCATTGTCAAGAATTGTAGTCTTAATGTAAACTATTGTTGATTTTACAAGTAGAAGTATTATTTGGCCACGTGCCTGAACTGAGGAACTGTGTTTGAAATTGTGTTTTTAACAGGCAGAAGAAAGATGACTACCTTTAATAAACTCAATCTGGGCATCGCTGTGGGCAGTTTTGCTATATTTCAACTTAGCTATCATGTGCTGAGTTCGTGGCTATCTTCACGCCTAACATCTGGTTTTAATAATCTTGACCAAAAGAAGAAAATTGAATGGAACACAAGGTATAGTTTTTAAACAACATTATACAATTATATATAAATATTTTAAAGTTTGAAATGTTTAGACTATTAGCTGTAGTGTGTTCAAACAATATCTGGATTGTTTAGGGGATTTCCTTTAGAAAAAAATGTAGTTGGGATTTGTGTTAAATAGTCTTTAATGCAAAATTGTCCTTGGGTAATTTATGTAAAAGTTATCTATTTATTAAAATAGAGATAAATTGAATGAATACCTGTTAATCTTTCATTATTTTTACTGATCATTTTTTTAAAATGAATAAAAATGGTTAAATGGTAATGTATAATATTCAGAGTACATTGTTTTGTAAAAAATAGCAATCTTAATATAAATTATGTCTTAATCTAAGTTCAAAGTACATTCTATCAAGGATATTCATAAAATACGAAACCCTGTTTAACTTCGTGAACTAGTCACAACATACTAATTATTTTTAACATGATTAATGTATCACCTATTCTGTAAATTCATGAAACAATGTGTACTCTATGCTCTGTAGAAGTTCCTTGCATGTAGTGTTGATTACATGTTATCTAACATTTATTTATTTGTTTGTTTGATTGGTTGATTTTTGTCCCATCTTTATCATTGCCACATCAAATGGTGAACATGCATAATGCTCCTTCTCCTTCCTCTTTTTTCCCCGTAACAACAAATATCTTGTTGACTAAATGCAGAACTTACTCAGAAAATATTATTTAGTATGTTGGTATCAATGTAGAATATATGAGGCATGCAGATTCATTTCAAATGGTTTCAAGTTCAATACTTTATGAAATGCTAAACAAATAATTTCAAGGAAATGCTCAAAAGTGCCCAGTTCAGGTTGTTGCACAGAATAAAATAAAACTTTATTGATTTAGTTGTTTGACCATATCTAAAAATATAAAACTAATACAAATATACAGGTGGACACAAAGAAAACAAGAAGATACGTTCACAGTAAGTCATCACTTCAACAGTTAAACCAAATTGATCTAAATATTCCGTCTCCTCCAAAATGGCCTTTGAAATAAAGAGGGCAGTGATATGCAGGTTAGTTCCTTGCAAAAAGCAAGGCAGCTTCTCCCAGGTGCCGCAGTTTTTTTTTTTTTTTTTAGTTTTTAAACAAGAATCTAAGCAATCTTTTCTGCAAAGTACAGTTTGAGGAGATCCTTGAGGAGGTCTCTGAGCTTGCTTGTTTTCTTGCAAATGTTTCATTTCCCTAACTAGGTAACATCATCAATGCTAATAAGGAGTGCTGTTTGCTGTCAGTTTATATTCTGTTTCTTGCCTACCTATGTTGAGCCATACAAGCGGTAAAATATTTTGCCAACTGGCAGGCTGATTTATGTTGAACCAGCCATTTCAAAGACTTGACATACCTACATTTCACAATGTTTCATGCCTGATCAAAAGGAAATGTTTTGCACATCCCTATTGTGCAAGCATTTAATAGAGCACAAAAGGACAATTCCTCACTTAAAGGAGTTTATAGTCTAAATTTGGCTAATGATTTATTGCTGCATATGCTGTATTTCTTTTATTGGAGAACGATTACATTTGTTTGTGAAATTTATTTCAAAAAATAATAGCCTGTGCATCTGAGAGAATATAGGAATGCTCTGCATTTTTCTCTCTGACTTGGAATGAAGTCAAATGAATAGATACGGGGAGACTTGTTTTTCCTCAGACATTTTTTATTTTATTCAGACAGACCACATGGCAAACTATAAAGTTTTTATATTACATTAGATTTTACAATGATTGTTTCTATATTAAAAAGCCAGAAAGCTAACAGCAAGGTAATACACCAAGCAAAAATGATTTCTTGAAATAAGAGAAAATAGAAATGTTGTAATTCAGGAAAAGATACTTTTCCCTGTAAGCAAATAAGGGCTCTATATTAAAATCTGTTCCATAGCATAGAATTTTCCTTATTTCAGCCAATAGACATGCCCAGAAAGTTCAATATTGTTGAACTTTTTGAAAAGTGAGGATATTTTCTGGCAACCTAATATAGGTTAGTTCATTCTATTGTGCTCCCTGTAGCTGCTTATGGTTGTAAAAGTTTTAAAAAGTAAGTCAGGAAAAAAATGACTTGTTTCAACTGTGGTGCTAAAGAAAGCTCCAGCATATTCTTTGGGCAGCAAAGATGACTAACAAGTAAGTACTGGAATGCGTAACACCAGACATGTCACCAGAAGGCAAAATCACGAAACTGCGTCTTACTTTGGCCTGGTCATGTGGGGGAATTCATTGGAGAAAACAATTCATTCACGTTTGGAAGAGTTAGTGGTAAAAGGAAACTAGGCTGTCAAAGAACACATTGGTTGGACACCATCGAAGCTGACACTGGCTAGAACATAGAAAAACTCAAAGAAATAGTGCAAGATCGGAAGATGTGAGAGACTTGTCAGCCTTGGAAGCCATTTTCTCCTTTGGAGCTTCGATTAGCCATAACAACATTCCTTTCTCTGGGAGTCAAGGACGATTACCCTGCACCTGGAGGGGAGTGATTGGGGGTAGTCTTCAGTTGGGATGAAGATATGATTGGGCCATGTGATGGACTTGTGGGTGTAGGGGATGAATTCTTGACTTTCTTTTGGGTGGAGGAAAAACCCGGAACTCTCAGATTCGGGTTTTCCCAGATGTGCCAAAATGACATCTCTAATAAAATGCTAGCCTCGGAGTCTTTGTTCGTGGAGGTTGTTACTTGGAACACTGACAAGACTTGGCCTACAGAATTGTCAAGAGCTGGATTCAACTGAACGGATAACATCATCATAATTTTGGATCATTGTAGATTCCAGGTATAATTAAGAAAAACATATGCATCATAAAGCAGTTGATCCAGAATCATAGTAACAATTGGTTGGTATATCTCAAAATGTAACAATAAATTTGGCAAGGCAAAAGCTATATGGAGCAAATGTCTATGGAGATTCTCAGTCATCCAGGTCATGGTTGTCTCAAAGGTGCTTTTTTAAGAGGCAACTGGACTTTCTGGTTTTTCTTTGAAGATGTTTCATTTCTCATCCAAGAAGCTTCTTCCAGAGCTGAAGAAGCTTCTTGGATGAGAAGCAAAATGTCTTCAAAGAAAAATCAGAAAGTCCAGTTGCCTCTTGAAAACATATGGAACAAAGTTTCAATTACAGAGTTACAACTTGTAACTTGTAACTAATTGTAATCAACCCACATTATTTTTAATGAGCTATCCAGTACATAAGAAACATTTAAATTGCACAAATCTCATTTGAAGATCGTAGGACATTATTTGTTTTTTTCATTATTGTGCCATCAAATTAAAGGTAGCATATACTTAATGGGATTGCTTTTGTCTTTTAGGACAGTATCTACGTTCCATGCCTTGGTGGTTGAAATATTTTGTGTGTATATTTTATTGTATGATGAAGCTATTAATGCTGACCGTGTTTGGTAAGAAATATCTTGGTTTGTAAATCTCATTTTCTCTGTCCTTTATTATTTCTTTTGCTGGTCAAATTACCTTTAAGTTTAATAGAATAGAATACTTTTATTGGCTACGTGTGATTGGACACACAAGGAATTTGTCTTGGTGTAAATACTCTCAGTATATATAAAGAAAAGATACATTCGTTAAGAATCAAGAATCATAATGTACAACACTTAATGATAGTCATAGGGCACAATCAACAATCAAATCATACTAGGAAACAGTCAATATAAATCGTAAGGATACAAGTGACAAAGTTACTGGCCTACAATCACAAGTGGGAGGAGATTGGTGATCAGGAGTGATGAGAAGATTAACAGTAATAGTAGTGCATACTTTATAAATAGTTGAACAGTGTTGAGGGAATTATTTGTTTAGCAGAGTGATGGCTTTCAGGAAGAAACTGTTCTGGTGTGCAGTGCTCTATAGGATTTAAAAATGTTTATGTTTAAAAAAACATAAAGAGAGATATATTTATTTGCTACCCAAACCTTTCTAAAATTACAGTTTATTTAAAACTATAACATGGAGGAAACCTGGGCTTTTGCTTCATTTAAACCAAAAAACAACAACTTGAGGCAGCCTGTCCCCCAACTATTACTATATGCAGGTAGTTCTGACTTACGACTATAAATGGCATCTGCCCATTATAATAGTAGTTCATGGTGAGAAAAAAACAGGTTATCACATGACCAGTCTGATTTTACCACTTTTTTTGTGGCAGTGATTAAATGAATTACCAAAGATCATTAAATGAATTCACAATTGTTAAACAAACTTGTTGTTTGCTATGGGCCATTTTTGCTGAAAACCAGAAGCAATGTTTTTCAGTAAAACTCACGTAAATCAAGGTCAAGTGACTTTGGGCTGATTCAAATAGTCTTCAGCGTGGACCAATTGCTGAGCTCGGAGGGGGTGATTGTTGGAAATTTGGAACCAGGTCAATACTTTTTGGAGGGGATCCATTGTAACTTTGAATGGTCTCTAAGTGACCAGGCATAAATTGAGGATTACCTTTACTCACCTCCTTTGGATCACTTCTTATGCTGGAATGGAAATATTTTTCCTCCTTCATTGAAACTGAGATAGAGCAAAGGTGGAGGAAGTTAGAAACCTAATTAGATGAATAATGGCTCATCCTCTCAATTTTTTGTCTTCAGAATATTATTATTAATCTTCTTAAATATGTCTGTGCAGAAGCTTTTCTCTTGCCTGTTTGCCATTTACCAGAGTTGTAGGATCATCTTACCAGATTTGGTGTCTGTCTTCCAACATCAAAAAAAGTGAATCATCATATGTGGGGGGGAAAATAAATATAAGCAAAATGTAAAATATTTACAGTGTGTTACATTTAACACAAAGTAATTCCTTTGATGTCTTTGTTTATAGGGGCGATCCTTCTACAGTGCAACTAAACCTTGCTATCACTGTAGGCTACCTCATTTCAGGTAATGTGTAAAATATTATGTGTATAATTTATTGTAAGTCATCTGTTTTGAAAGAACCTTTTAACGGAAAGTTTACCAATTGTGCTGTAAAAATGTGATTATTTTATTTCATAACATGACAGTATTGTGTTAAATATCAAAATATTTCCTTCTGTCAATTTCTCATTCTCAAGCTTGAGTAACAATAATTACTTTTCCCCCAATTTTTCTTCCTGCTATCATGGTACTACCTCTAATTTGGTATCAATAATTTAATAACCATAGAATAGAATATTTTCCAAGGGAAAATAAACGAGGCCTATTCAAGGAGGGACACTTAGTTTCCTAATTACATGTCTTCCTCTTGAGTTCTCCTTGAGATGGATATTGATTAATCAGTGGGAAACATATTATTTTGTTTTGAAATTTCAACTTCATCACTGGTCCTCAGTTTTAAAAGGCTACTTCAGGACGTGCATGAATACAGTATATATCCTGCATGTCTTTAATAAAAACTCAAATATTTCTCAACATAAGGTGGGAGGAGATTGCTATAGTTTGAAACATTAGCCAACTTCATGACTAGATTTCAAAATAACTTTCTATGGTGAGGCAAATCTGATATTTATATCCCTAGGAAAAATCAGTGTTACATGGTAAGTGATCATTAGCCAAAGCTTAGGGTTCTATTTTTGATGTTCTGGCAAGGGCAACTTGGAAATTTTTATCCTGATAACAGAAAAAGAGAAGTAAATTTCTCTCTGCCTTGCTGCATTAGAAGTTTTAAAATAAAATATAATAATTGTAGAATTTTATTTACCTGTTCTTTATTTCTTTTTAGATTTGTTGCTTATTATTTGGCACTGGAAGGCAATTGGGGATGTATTTTTTGTAACTCACCATGTACTAGCTCTATATTCATATTACATTGTACTGGTAAGTTCTATGTTAATTTTATTACAAGTATACGTGTGTTTTAGCAAAAATGGATTTTAATAGGCTTACCGTTAAGATTCATGGTTCTTACCGTTAAGATTCATGGTTCTTACCGTTAAGATTCATGGTTCAAGAAGAAAGTAACTGCTCTATGAGGATTATGATATTACAGTGGCTAACACAGAAAAGGAATAAAACTTGATATGTAAAAAGGTGACCAATATTCTGTCATTTCAGAACTGAACTTATTTATCAAATATGTAGCTGTCTTATGTTATTTTGCTTATGGGAAGTGACAAAAAAGTGACCTATCATTTTGTTGTTTGTATGTACACTGAGGGACAAATTTCTTGTGGGTCACACTTGGTCAATAAGAGAATTCTATTCTATTCTATTCTATTCTATTCTATTCTATTCTATTCTAT